GCTCCCATAGAAACACGTTGTTATGGCTGGGGTAGCTCCTGAAAAACCTGGCACAGACTCTCCTCCAGGAAGTAATGGAGCCCTTCCGGCTGGCTCTGATGCTTCAAACACATCCAGCCATCTTTGCCATCAGGAGAAGGGCTCTTAGAGGTGGAAGGGGAAGGGATGACAGAGCTTCCCCATGGGGGCTTGGGGAACAAGAGGAGAAAGTTTTTACCAAAAGATAGAGGCCTAGTTGGCAGAGTGGGTCTGGCTGAAGTCCCAGCCCAATAGAGGATGTGAAAAATGGCCAAATCAGAGAGAGGGAGGGAGGGAGATAGAGAGATAGAGAGAGAAAGTCCTTCAAAGACTAGCAACAGCATCTTCTAAGCCACTGATTCCCAAACTTTGGTCTTTTGGATGTTTTAGACTTCAGCTCTCAGAATTCCCAACTCTTGGCCAAGTGGGCTGGGGCTTCTGGGAGCTGAAGTTCAGAACACCTGGAGGACCAAAGTTTGGAAACCACTGTGCTAAGCTGACAGGGCTATCAAAGGTGCTAAATTGAGTTTTAAAGATGTAAGATCTGTATAATTCCCTCAGTCTGCTGGGGATCTCCATTACAGTTTGCACCAGAACCCAGAGCAGATTCACCACTCCACCGACACTGGACTGCAAGTGTTCATTGCTCTGCAGATGTTGTTGAACTGCAACTCCAGCACCCCTCAGCATTGGCAGTGGCTAATGGTCATTTCAGTTGAGCACCATTTGGATGTTGCCCATTGCTATTCTGTCTATGAATTGTCCAACTGAAGGAAGGTGGCCCAAAGGTGGGAATGGCACGGCTCATGTGCTCCTCATGTTTCCTCCACCATGAGACACAACTGATGATATTTTGCTCAGTGAAACCACCCAGAGCCCAGTTTCATTTGCAACTGCTGACTCTCAAGCATATTTGCCATTTGGAACATCAGTCTGCAAAGCCAAGCAATGAGAAGCGACAGCACTAAGCTGTTTGATAGAAAACGGCCATTTTTCATCGCTGGCATTAACGTTCTTAACGTGACACCTCTTCTGTTGAGAAGCCCCCTTGAGCTCCGGCAAACAGTTCTCTGGCTGAGCAATCTTGCTCTCTAATTTAGAGTTTAAGTGTATTTACTAGGAGATCACCCCTAAAGAATACCATTTACCAAGCTGACAACCCCCAAATTGAATTTCAGCTTCCGCTACTGTATGTCGGTGAAGGAAATGGCAATCAGGGGAAAGGCTGCTGACGTGGCATTTTAAACACACGCGCACACACACACACACACACACACACACACACACCTGTAACCAGCATGGGGTTCAAATCATCTTTGGGTCTCAGAAATTGTACTCTGCAGCTTTTTACAAAATTGTGTGTAGCTTTACAAATCTACCTGGTTGCTTGCATAGCAGTCCCTGGAGGTGTATAAGTTCCCATGGATTTAGTGGCGCTTTTCTAGTTGGATGTGTGGAAGTGTTGTGTCAATGGGGATGCTGAAACCAGACCTGGTTTTAGGCTGAACTCCAAAGGAGGTATCCAAGATGGTGAAACTTTGGCTTGGGCCTTTAAAATTTGGCTTAAAAAACAGAGAGGATTCACCCACCTACTGGCATGGAAGTCACCAGCCGCCTGACCAGAACACACTCATGAAGTGAAATTGGTAAATTTTTACCACCGATAGAAAGAAACAACATCTTTGCCCAATATGGTATCTCCTACATGACAAATATTGGCTGGCATTCTGCATTGAAGACAATGGCAAACCTCCACTGAACAAATCCTGTCAAGAAAAACCCATGAAAAGTCTGCTTTAAGGTTGACATAAGTCAGAAGTGAGTTGAAGGTACACAACAACAATTCTGCATTGCAGCTTCAGATTTACAACTTAGTACAAAATCCATTAGGCCCAAAGGCTTTAATAGAAAGCCAAATTTTTGGCTCGGCACTGAAATAATCCTAACATTGGTGCCAATCAGGCCTCCGTGGGGAGGGCATTCCACATCTGGGGTGCCACCACAAAGAAGGCCCTCTCCCATGCCCTCCCACAGTGTTTTCCCTACTGATAGGAAGAGGGTTCCTTTTAAGGCCACCCGACCCTGGTTTCTATTACAGGGATGGCCAGATGTGCCAGGAGCAGAGTCAAGGGGTAGTGCCCAAACTCACTCCTCAGGTCTCAGCAGATGGACATGGGATAAGGCAATCCTATCGCTCCAACTTTCACAGCTTTGAAAAATTACATATATGGACTGCCCAGTCCCAGAATCTTCCAGCATTAAGTCCACTGGTTTTTCTGCCTGAAAGATTGTGGTTCCAGAAACCACCACCAGAACAACAGAATAGAAAAAGGAACATTTCCAAGCTCTGCTGCATAGAGGACTGTCTTAACTAGCAAAGCTGTTTTCTCTGGCAAATTTGAAATGGCAAATTTCCACTCAGCAAACCGAAAGCATCCTGATTGCACGTTTGGGCCATTTTATTGCTTCCCTCCTGGGGAGGCTGATGGATTAGAACCCAATTGCCCCCAAACTGCCCTTTATTTAGTCATCATTTGTTGCCCCATGGGATTTTTTTTCCTGAAAAAATTACATGTATAGTGCTGTTTCACTTTAATGGGATGAGAAGAAAGGTGGAGATAAAAATAAAAGTGAAAAGTGGGCCACTGAGCACCCCTCCCCAGCCTGGGACAAAAGGCGGCTCAATGAGGGGCAATTCAGCACAGACCCACAGCTGCCCCCTTCAGAGGGATAAGGAATAAAATGGTCTGAAGCTCCAAACAGGAAGCTTTGTGCTTAACTGAACCATTTCCTCTTAAAAGCCCTAATAGCACTTACTGGTGAAGTTGTTGCTCAAATTGTGTTATATTTGGGTTGTGGGGTGGCAGGGAGGGTCACCACAATTCATGTTCGGGACGCACTCAATAACAAGACAGAAAACACAGGCATGCAAGAGTTTAACAGCCTCGACAAGTGTGGACTTTCGGATGAATCATCGTCTTCCATGAGCTCAGACTGACCATCTCTTTCAGTGTTGCCCATTCTGGCTGGCAGCAGATGTTTTGGAACAAAGTTTAAAAAGTTTTCTGTCTTGATTTCAGAGATTTTACATTGGGTAGTTCTCTACATTCTACAGTCTGACATGTTATTATTTTTTCGGGAGAAAATGTTTTGCAAAAAATTGCTGCCAATCAGGCCTCCATGGGGAAGTCATTCCACAACTGGGGTGCCACCATAAAGAAGGTCCTCTCTTGTGTCCTGTGAAAAATTTGCAAAACTTTTGTATAGAAACTGATGTGTTCTTTCTTTGCAAAATCCTCTCCTTCGAACATTTATTAATAACAAAATAGCAAATCAATAACAATATGGATATGGTAATGTAGAAGAAGGGTGTTGAGGGAAGTTTAAAAGGCCCATAGTATTAATGAGGTTCTAATGATAATCAGATCCTGGCACAGTTGAGTCTTCATGGGGAATGTCTTTCCAGAACGCTTGATGGAGGTTGTGTCTGACGCAAATTATCGTTGATGTACTCTATGAAAAGGAACCATTTTTTTGTTAAATGATGGTTTTTCCAATTTGTCCTTTTGACTTCCTTATATTATTTGTGAGTTTCTCCATCAGCCATACGTCCCAGGTTTTCCTCCACCAATTTTCTATTAAAAATTCACCTCCAATTTTGATCACCAAAAAAAGAGGCTAGTATCTCACTTAACAAGAGTACAAAAATGATAATCTCATGGCCGTTTGTAATGTTTTTGGTGGGACTTCTCAACATGTCGGGACATCCTTTCTCATTGTGGGTGAATCTTCTTTTATCTTCTCCTCCTTTTCCTCCTGAGCTGCTGACACTTGCAGAGCTTCTTCTCGCCTCCTTCCCAACAGATGGTTCGCATTTCCGGAGAGCCAACTGCCTGCCTGTCTCTTGCCCGTCCTTCCTTCCTTCCTTCCTTCCTTCCTTCCTTCCTTCCTTCCTTCCTTCCTTCCGCTGAACCACATTGGCATTGGCTTCCCTGTTTCCTTTCCTTTTTTTACCTGTTCTGCTGTGACCATGATGAATTTCAAGCCCAACCTCTCCAACTGTCTCTTAAGCAGCGCCAGATGGTTTCCAATTCACCCGTCAAACTCCCAAAGGAAGCAGGCAGGTTATTTTGGATGCCGTTCGGCTTGGAAACTGGGCCAACACGAGGCCTCTTGACAGTTTGCAAAGAACGAGGAGGCCCTTGGCATGAATCTGGAGGGAGGCCAGGGCAGATTTCACTCTCCCAGGGGTAGGTATCAAAAGAACTGGAGGTGGGAGAGTGTAGCAACTGGGAGCAATGGTCCCTTGGCAATCGCTCATGAGATATTTCGCAAAACTAGCACTCCTGTTTTAATTTCTCTCTCTCTCTCTCTCTCTCTCTGTGTTGTTATGTGCCTTCAATTCAGCCCCTGCCAGTTTTCTTCAGAGGACGTTTGCCATGGCCTTCCTCTGAGGATGAGAGATTGTGACTTGGCTAAGGTCACCCAGTGAATATCCACAAATGAACTGAAATTTCAACCCTAGTCTCCTGGGGTCTCAGTTCAACCGCCAAACAACTGCTGACTCCCAAGAGGAAGAGGTCTCCCATGGTCTTCCTCTGAGTCTGCAAAAGTGTGACTTGCCCACTGGATTTGAATGGCTGAGCAAGGATTTGAACCCTGGCCTTCCAGAGTCCTAGTCCAACATTCAAACCACTACACCATGCTAGCTCTTAAAAATAGGGTTTTCTTGGCAGGATTTCTTCAAAGGATCATATAGAACTATAGAGTTGGAAGAGACCCCAAAGGGCCATCCAATCCAGATCCCTACTGCCATGCAGGAAGACACAATCCAAGTCTTTCCTGTGACAGATGGCCATCCAACTTCAGTTCAAAAACCTATGAAGAAGAAGGAGACTCCACCACTCTCTGAGGCATTACCTTTGCTTTCCTCTGAGACTGAGAGAGTGTGACTTGCTCAAAGTCACCCAGAGGGTTTCTGTGGCCAAATGAGGATTTGAACCCTGGTCTCCCAGAGTCCTAGTCCAGCACTAAAACCACTAGGCCATGTTGGCTGCTTTATGTGAGCTGACACCAATGTGGAAAGTCATACAAACAGTCCTGCTTCTCCTAGAACTCCCACCCCCAACCCAAATTCTTCTCCTACTTGTCACAGATACTCCCCCCAGTCCCTAAAAGTGTTCCCCAGTCTTCCTTCCAAGATGCAGGAAACCTCTCCGGAAGACTGCGATCCCCTTTCCTGAAAATTCATGGAAAATGGCCTCTTCTTTGGAGCACTTCCTCTGCACCACCCCGCCCTCTAAAATTAAATGTCTTTTCAAAAAGCATCTTACTTCTCAAAGTCTTTGCCGCAGATTGATTTCTGCTTCTTTGTGTTGGACCAAAGTGGTTTCAACAACTCTCCCTCCCCCACGAGACTCTGAAACACATTTGAGATTCATAAAGGTCATGATCTCCCTTTCGGAGAAATCAATGGTTGCCATTATTGTCTTCTCAGATCCCAAACATCACTCTAAAAGTCTGACCTGGGAGCATGTAGGCTGCAGGCAGAGAATGGGGAGTGTTTCCCCCCAGGAACCCAAAGATAACTTGCAGAGAGGCCTCGTTTGCTTATGGATGGAGAGCCTGTTCACCAGTTGCATGGCGTGAAATTGCACCAGCATAGCTAGGTTGCTGTATTGGATCACATGCCATTGTACAACTGATTGCACAATGTGTGATACAGCTGTGCGGTCTGCTTTTGTGCCACAGAAAATCCAACTCCCCACCCACCACAAAAGACTGAACTTATGGGGCCTCCCCAGTTGCGTTCTTAGCTTTGGTTTATAATGGTATCGCATGTTTGCACAACCATAACTAAGATACAACCCTTGTGCAACTTCTGAAGAAGTGAAACCAGATGCATAATGACATTTGCTCTATGGTAAAGTCACAAAGGGCTTTTGGTCACCTTCAGCTCCATGGAAGGAGTGTAACAGGGATCTTGCTCTTCATCACACGGTCCCTGTTACGCTTCTTCCATGGAGGTGATTGTGGGATGAGTGTACAGAAGGCATACCCATCCAGAGAACAGAGAAGGATGAAATGCAAGCAGGATTGATAGAAGTGCTCAGAAAAAGTGCTGCCAGGTGCCTTGGTACAGGAGCAGGGAGAGAAGGCCTTTTGGAGCCTCTTGAGGTGAGCCACCTCAATTTCTGGGGCATCCAGCAGCATCCCTGACTGCAGAAGATGGTGGAATGCTGATGAATGATGGAAAGAGGGATTACGTTTTCTCCAAAGGATGCACAAGGATGGTATTTGATTCTGGGTAAGGTCACCCTTACCTAGGAAAAATTGCCTGGTCCCCTAGTTGTGGCCAGTATCGTAGCCAACAGCCAACTTGGGCTCCATCTGCATCTGCACTGCAGGAGGTTGGACTAAGTGTCCCTTGAGGCTTCTTCCAGCTCTAGGATTCTATGATTCTACGATTAGGATGTAGGGCATAAGTGAACCAAAAGAAGCAGACCAAACAGAAAGGAAGAAGGGACAACATTATAATGTAAAGAATCAAAGCCTGCAAAAGATATGTTTTTGGACTGCATCTCCCAGAATCCCCCTGCCAGCATTGGGCACTGCTGCAACCCAACATGCCTGGAGGGTGGCAGATCGGGGGAAGTTGATCCCAGTGTTTTTATGGTGGGCCTGGGGGACCCAGGAGCCATCCGTCAACAGTGTGGATGACTACAGAGCCCTTGTGTTGCCTCCTCCCTTGAGCAAAATTGTGCCAACATGCACACAAACAATATCATCCCTCTTCCCCTTCCGGGAGCTTTTGTTTAGCCCCTAACAGATAGTTACTTAGCAACAAGTAACATGCACCGAATAGCAGAACTGTTAAACCTACAAGATAATTTTAAAAGCGGCTGGTGTTATCAGCGCCTTGTTATATTGGGTAGATAAAGGCCCTATAAAGGCTTACAGCTGGCTCATGCAAAAGAGATTATGTTGCATTTATTTCTATTGTTGGGTTCCTTGCAAATCCAGCATAATTGATGGCCCAGAATAATATATGGGGGGAATAGCGCTGCTAAACTAAAAGGTGGGCTGAGGCCCTGGTATCCCATATTTCAAAAATGTTTCATTTTTAACAGCCTTCCTGTGTTGCTGGAAGCTGATGTTCAAGTGGAAATGGCTGCAGTTTGTTGAATCTCAAGATATTGGGAGTGTCAGGCCTGATGTCGCAGTCAAAGTGCTGGTGGGTCTGGGAGACATCGTTGCCAGAATCCTGTATCACAACACACACATGTCACACATAGCTGCATTCCATACTTTCATCTTCTGGTGATAATTTCTCTCCCAAAACCACATTTCAAGGGATGCAGCCCCTGCAACATGGGCATTTCTGTGTTGCTGGAAAACAAGGGGATCAGGGGAGATGTGAACAGCTATTATCTCGTGGCTGGATGTGCTTCGTTCCTCAGGAGATCTCTGCAGATGGTTAATTCTGCATGTGTTAGAGCCACTGACTCAATGGGATTTACCTATCTGTGGACTCACCATTCAACAATTGATTCAATAGGTCTGCTCTATATGGGACTAACCGACAGGATTGTACATTCTTGGAGGATGTGTAACTATCTGTCAGTGCCTTCAGTGGCATCCCTGATTCAATGGGGTTGGAGAAAAATCTCTATGCATTATTCCCCATCACATGATGGAGCAATAAGTGGGTACATTGACATAGATGCTATTATTTGCAAAATGCTGGCATTCAGCAAGATGCCCATAGAGCACAGCCACTGTTAAGCAGTGTTAGCCCTGCTCAGGTCTTGCAAACTCAAGGCAACAGCCCTAGCCTCCTTGATGGAGTCTATTCCACCGTAATGCAGTGCTCCTTTTTTCCTACTGCCTTCCCTTGCCTTTTTCCAATGAGTCACATTGTTTAGTCATATTTAGCTTATAAGAGAGTTGATCTGCTCTCAGACCAATTTATTTCTCCCTTTGGCAGCCCATGGCATTCACAAATCTCTCCTCCAGCAACGTATTTCAAATGAGTTGATTTTCTTCCTTTGCTCTCCAGCATTCACAACCATGCACTGAAATCAGAAATGCAATAGCCTGGATGATTTTGACTTTGGGACTGAATGGTGTAGATTTACACTTGAAGATGTTGTCTAGTTCCTTCATGGCTGCCCTTCCAAGTCTTACTCTGTCTTCTGATTTCTTGACTGCAGTCTCCATTCTGACTGAACAAAGGTATGGAAAATCTTTAACTATTTAATGTGCTTTTTGTTTAATGGTAGAAATCCCCCCTCTGAGCAGGAAATGTTCAGACCCATCCCAGACTCAGAACATCTATTCGAGGCCAATATAGTACTCCATCAGTGCATTTGGGGAAATGTATTTTAATCCCCGAAAGCTCACACAAAGATACATAGGTGCCTCTTAAAGGTGCTACGCGGCTTCTCCTTCCTTCCTTCCTTTCTCCTTTTATCATTTACACAGAGGGAGGCGAAGGCACCTGTCGCTTTGAAAACATCCGTGTCAGATGCTCAAGAGGTTGGTTGGTATCAACAATGGCTTCAACAAGATGTTGTTGACAAATACTTTGGCAACTTTTCTTGCCCACAGATTGCCTGCTAGCAATTATCCCAACACATTGACAACTGCAGCTTAAAAAGCCTCTCTGGGTTTGCATACACAAAGGCTTTGTTACTCAGAGGGTGGGAGGCTGTACGCTTCGGGGTCCGCAATGCGGATCCTGGCAGGAGGATCTCTTTGTGGGAGGTCATGGAGGCGACTCCTCTCCCACTGATCGACTTGGGAGTTTTCTAAAATGGGCAAAATTAGGAAATGTGTAGGAAAAGTTATCGTCCTGATATTACCTTTTAAGGATATTACTAAGCAACAGCTGTGAGGTCACCCCTTGACTACGGGTGCAGCTAGATTGTAGAAATAATGCAGTTAGACAACACTTTAACTGCCAAAGTTCCCTCCTGCAGAGCTGTGGGATTTGTGGTTTGGTGGGGCACCAGGACTCTTTGGCAGAAAAGACTGAAGACCTTGTAAAGCTACAAATCCTAGGATTTCATAGGCTGGAGCAACAACACTTAAAGTGGTGTCAGACTGCATTATTTATACAGTGCAGATGCAGTTCACATAGTGCATCTTAACTGGATTGAGGCTGCATTAACCTATGTGTTGGCCATGGGTCTACTCTAGTCACTGCCATATGGGAATGCATGTTTGCATATGGCACCGACAGGATTGTGGCCTTTGTGTGTTACTTGTGTTATTCAGTAAAAAGGCAGGGGAGTAGGCTGTTAGTCTCATTCAGGTGTCTGGGGAGAAAATGGGTTCACACATGAAGAGTTTGGTTCTGGGTCTATGCTCTGGTTAATAAATTCTGTAGGCTTATCCCTACTAGAGTAGATCCATGGCCAACACATAGGTTGATGCAATTGAGTCAAGGGGTCTACTCTAGTCAGGACTAATATGTTAATGTTATTGCCTAGAAGAGCTCACCTACACAGAGAGGGGCCCCTGTCTTTGGAAGCACTCCAGGGCCCCAACCATTTTAACCCCTCCTTGGCCCTGGGACCAGAGCGGGAACCTTCACCAGGCCAGGCATTGCAAGAGGGCTGCAGAGCGACTGACCGCACTCCCTGCCTACCTCTCACATCCAGCAGGACTGTTCAGCCTTATTATTATATGCCTCCACTTCCATCAAAGAGCCTATTTGTCATCCTCATTCATGCCACCAAATGGTCCTGGCTATTCCAAGCGATATCCCTGAAAAGGTAACCGAGGGGGCGGGGGGAGGGAGAACTATTAAGCGCATATTATCCTGTCATACAGCCGCTCAATGGCGGGGAGATTGCTCATTTTGTGGCATAATGGGGAAGAAATAGCCAAATAATATAATCTGCCAGGAAATTTGACCTCCTCAGATAACTCTCCACTTGTAGCCGCTCAGCAGCAGAGGCCAATATCCCTCTGCTGCCTAATTGTTGGAATCGATATCACTTTTGAAATTACAGATGCCTTTCAGAGTCCAAGGAGCCTGTCTTCAGAT